TGAATCCGCCACTGCACACCTACATTTTGGAAAACAAAGGTGCAGGGGAGACAAGTAGTATACTAATAGGTGAGATGTTAGCTTCAAAGTAACAAGGGCCAAGGCACAAGTCCCACAACTTTTTATGATTAGTGAATTTGCAAATAAAAATAAAAAGATTAAAAAACAAAACATTGTAGAAAATATATTGTAGTTGTATAAACTTCAAAGCAAAATATGCACACAAAAAAAAAAAAAAAAAAACTTGACTAACTAGGCAAACAATTCATGTTCACAAAAACTTCTTAGCATGTACATAAATATATCTTGCTCACTAATTCTTACTTACGTGGAGAATTACATTAAATTTATTTAATTACAGTCAAGTATTTAAAGGAACTTTGAAAAGATGTTTGGGACATATACCTACATTATATTAAAAGCACGAAGATTCTTAGCGAAATATCTTTTGTATTTTTTATCCTTTAAAAATAAAGTTTACAGTGAACAAGACGGCCATCTAATTATTTCCAATATTTAAGACTTTAAAATCAACTTAATTTTAGATACTAAAGTTTTTCCTTATTTGAACCATATAAGAACTCGTAGTATAGGTATTTTAATTTAGTAAGATTTTAAATTGATATCCACTTACTAAGATCAATAGAGAAACGTATATGAAATATCGGCAATATGTAAGAAGCTTTTCCTAATTTTATATTATACTAGCTTTACGATACGCGCGTTGCGCGTGTATCTATATTAATGAGTACATAATTTTTTAAAAATTACTTAAATATTATCAAACTATGTATTTGTCTAATAAAAGTTAANATTTTAAAATTATATTTTTCTTTGTTACATTATTTATATTTTATTTCTCTACCTTTACTTCCAGTGATTCCATGAAATTGCTTTTTATTTTGTATTTATTTATTTTATTATTCTATTTTTGAAACTATACCTCTAATATTAGAAATAATGAGTCATTAACAAACTTGGTATATAATGAGTGATGCAATTAAAGTGGAATTTCTTTGTTGAATGTGGTTATAAACTTATTATGTTTCCTAATTAAGTTGTAGTGGAACTTACTATATTATGCTGGAATTTGACATATGTTAAACTATTTTTTTGGATTTTAAAATTATGTTATATTCATGGTTCCAATTTACTTGTTTTAGTAGTATTGGCTCATATTGCATGTTGTTCATTTGAATAATGTTATGAGACTATATTTATAAATATTAATTTATTTTATCAAACATGAATTCCATGATATTTTACAAAACATTTGTTTTTAGTTTTTGTAAGTATCTAAATTATTATTAATTTAGAAAATATATACAAATTATTTTTACAATATTAGTTATAAATATATGATAACTAATTAATGTATATTCACGAAAAGTATATATCTTAAATACCAAATATAATATCATTTATACTTATAAAAATTTATAGGCATATATTTATTATATTAACTTTTAGTGTTGATAATTATTTTATTTAAAATTTTATCTAACTGTGTAATTACACTTGTGCAACCAAACAGTAAACTAGTAATTACACTATGACAAACAATCATGTCGTCGTAATTACACAAGTGTGTAAATACTAGGATGTGTAATTACTACCCTAGAATTACACCAATTCCAATTACCCGGTGGCTTTTCAACAAGAGCCTAAGTAATATTTCGATTGTGAAGCTTTCATAAGTATTTCACCATTTCTTCGTATTCTAATATTTGCAAGCAAAGAATTGATCCTACTTGAACTTGAATTATGATTTAAATTTTGAATTCTTATGTCTGATCATATTACTTTTAAATATTGTGTTTTAAATTACCCGTGACTAATATTAAAAATAATATTTAATAGATTTAATATTATTACCTCTTATTCTCTGAAATATTAATTTTTTTGCCATGGAATATAACTATTTTATTATAAAAATTATTTTATATAACGTAACCAAATAAAAACCCAACCAAAAAATATTAAAATTTGGATTGGATTGTACTATTTTAAAACCGAAAACCGAAAATATAAAATCAAACCGAAAACGGAATGCATCCCTATTTTATTTGTATTAAATCCCTAATTTAAAAATCAAAAGATATAAAAAAAACTCTCAAACTGAAAAATTCGCTGAGCACTGGTTCTTGCCTCTTGCCGCTGCTTGCTGCTCGTCTTCTCATCCTCACCTTGTCAGTCGCCGGTCGCCTCTTCGGTTTTTGCTTCCCCGGTAAGTTCCCTTCTCTCTGTATTTTGTTTTTACTAGCTTTACGATACGCGCGTTGCGCGTGTATTTATATTAATGAGTACGTAATTTTTAAATATTATCAAACTATGTATTTGTCTAATAAAAGTTAAAGAAATTTTTAAAATTTTGAATGTTGTTCCAATTTAGTTAGCTCAATAAATGAAAAAAATCATGTTTGACATAAGTTTATGGATGCTTTATTGTGATTTATGAGGACGTATGTGATCTTATAAAAATTATTGTTGTTTTGGTGGCCTAATATAGAAAACAAAACACAAAAGAGAATAAAAAGGTCGGTCTTATAGCTTCCCAAAAATTAATATTGTAAAGTCTAAAAAATGACTATAATTCAATTAATATCTTATAAAAAAAAAATTTAATATAAAAAAAATGTAGTGAGGCATCGTCATTTTTGGAGTAAATACAAGAAAAAAATGGCAACTTATTATTTACAATACATATTTTTCTTATTATTTCATCCTTAAATTTCTTATAAAAATACATAAGATTTATTAATATAATTCCGATATATCTCAGTATCTTATTTATGCCTCACTTATTTGATTGGGTTTGTGCTTTAACGTGTAAAAGCTCAACAAAAATTTTAAAGTACACTATAGCTATTATTAATATAATTATCTTATTTTCAAATATAATCTTGTCATTTGTAAACTTAGTTATATATAANTCGTACTTTTAATATAGTATAGATGCAAATATTATAAATAGTTTTTGTCAAAGTGAATAAGCAATAAAGAAAATAGGTCCATAAATTATTGCACTAAATCTAACTTTTAAAAGCAGACTTTTTTAAAGATGAATATCTTTCGTATCAACGTTCAAACTATCTTGTCAAAATAAGTTACACACATCGAATTGAAAAAAAAAAGGGCATGACATACCTTTTGGTACAACATATAAAGGAGGTAATTGTGAGTCAATTTGTGAATTAGATATTAGGCCAAGAAATAATTCATCTTTTGATGGAAATAAAATCCCGTTAATATTTCGAGAATATTTTTACCTCTCAAGAATCTTGCATTTGATACATTCATTACATTTGAAAGTAAACTTTTTAGTGAATAAAATTTTAATTACATTTAAATATTTAAAACTTGAGATGAACATCAGAATCAACAAAAAATAAACTATTAGCAAAAGAATCAAGCCCAAGCTGACAAAAACACTTAATTAGGATACATATATTTATTTTCATAAGAAGAGATCAATTATATTATTGGCTGTGAAAGAAATCATAAAATAAAACAAAAGCGATTATTATATAGTATTAAGAGTCACGACAATTTTTACAAGATATCCGCATAGAAGTTCTCTAACTTACAGAAGTTAACTGAGGACTTATATGAGGAAAAATTTCTTTCTTAATTTATTGACTATCTAAACCTGATCAACATTCATCATTTTGAAAAACTTTTTTTTCTTTTTATTAATTTCTTATTTTATAATTCAACTACATTATTTAATAATGTTTATACAAAAATTTTAAAATTACTCATTGATGTGTGTCACATGCAAATTGTTGAAGTTTACATATATATGAATTCAACGGTGGATAAACTACATTTATAACATAATAGACAAGAATCAATAGAGTAGGTAGACAAGAAAATTAAAGTCTAAGAAAATCCCTTGCAATCAGGGCTACAAGGAAACACGATTTATTAGTAAGATTTTTCTAAATTTCTCAAAAAGATAATGTCCAATTAAATAAAATTGTAATAGTGAAAATATTAACCAATATGAACTTGCATGGACAATGGAAAATTCTAGTAATATGGATTTTGCATTAAGTAAATACCAAAAACTTTAAAACTTTTTAACCGATCATTGAGCAATTTTACGGGTCAATTTATTTTACTAAGTTAGTTATATAGGATTAACATTCAATATTTTCAAAAACTTATACTTTTATTATGTAACTCAAACTTAAATTTTAATAATATATTTAAGTGATTTTTTCTTTAAAAAAAGTATACTAAATAAGACAGGCTATACAGACACTGAGCATCCACTAAAATTAGGACAGATAAAAAATCAAATATATAAAGCGTGCACGAGCATTCTAGGATCTACCATATGAGAATAGCTCAATCTCTAAAAAATGCATAAGATGAATAGTCCACTCACTGAGGTATCAGCGCGAGAGGATTTATACCTTATGAATTCAACTTTTAAAGTTCTCAACATTGAACTTATCATACTTTTATAATTATAGATGCATATCTACTCTTTGTTGTGTAAATTTAAGTAAATTTTTGCACATAAATTTATGATTGTGTTAAAAGTACTGAATTCAAATGAGCGAGATACTTTAATGCGGCATGCGCCTGTTGTGCCAGCCCCGTGAAATTTTAGCTCCCATAATCGCCTTGGACGTTTACAGAATTAGGGGATTCTTTGATGGGTAAAGATGAAATTAAGATTCACATATATGCTAATCCTTCCTCGTTAATTTCGATATTTATTTCAGCTTCCTCGTTAAATGATTTTCCTCTTTGTTATCTTGAACTGTTCCAAAACTGTTATAATTCCATATACTTTAAAGTTATTTTCCAAATAAATATTTACCTAAATCAAGCATGATCCTTCTTTCCCACTCCCATATTGTGGACCATTTTTTGTTCCTCGCCTTAATTATCAGGAAATTGATACCGGTACAGTAAACTAAGAATACGACAAGACCTTATTGACGTCCATAATAACTATATATATGACCAAACATAAGAAGAAAAAGTAGTTCAATATAGTCCTCCGATCCATAGAAAATGGAACCTCAAGTAAGCTCAAAAATGAAGAAGGTTCTTCTTGTCATCAACTGTATAATTCTAGCTGTAGGAACCTGTGGTACCCCTTTGCTCATGCGCCTTTATTTCATCAAAGGAGGCAATAGAATTTGGCTATCAACCTGGCTACAAACTGTTGCTTGGCCAATAAATTTCATCCCTTTGGCCATTTCCTACTTCTATCGTCGCAAAATTAATATCAATATCAACAACAATAATAATACGAAGGTCATTCTGATGACTCCCCGGATTTTCGTGGCCACTATAGGAATCGGAGTCCTACAAGGATTTGCCAACTATTTTTACGCTTATGGCGCAGCTAAATTGCCTGTTTCGACTAGTGGACTTCTCTTTGCTACGCAACTTGCATTCACTGCCGGCTTTGCTTTCCTTATAGTGAAGCTGAAGTTTACTTCTTACTCAGTCAATGCCGTCTATTTGTTGACGGTTGGCGCAGTGCTTTTGGCGCTACACTCTGGAGGTGATCAACCAGAGGGAGAGCCAAAGAAAGAGTATATTTTAGGGTTTATCATGACCCTAGCAGCTGCTGCTCTGTCTGGGCTTATTTTTCCTTTGGTGGAGTTGATTTACAAAAAGGCACATCAAGCTATTACTTATACACTTGTGTTGGAGTTTCAGACAGTGTATTGCTTTGTAGCCACTATTGTTGCAACAGTTGGAATGATCATTAACAAGGACTTTCAGGTATCTCTCTTTCTCTTAAGTGGTAAAGTTTTTTGCAATAAATTTGTCTGACTATATTTAGTCTTTTGAAACTTGTGATTGTCTCAATAAGATTTGTATGATTTGAAACTTATGTTGTTAAACATATCATAACATTTATAACTAAAACATGTTTGTCATTATTAAGGGTAAAATGAAAAGTTTATGTATTTCAAATATAAAAAGCTGACATTCTTCAGTTGTACGGACGAAAAGGGAAATGCTGCCACATAAATTGACGGATGGAGTAATAAATGTGTTTGGCTTTAACGAAATTACTAATATGATTTAAGTTTTATACAATTAATCATAGAAAGTATTCGATAATTTTAAGGTAATTACATGTAAACCTGATCATTCTAAAGGTTTTCATTTATACCTATGTAATAAGAACTCTATTGGTAATATGATAAAAATAGTAACCAACATACTTAATATGTTAAATTACATTGATTGTGTAAAAATAAATTATATTGCCAATGTATATCACTTAAATTTATTTATAATACACAACTCTTAACTTCTATTCCTTGACAGTATAAAATAATTCGCTATAAAGTCATGTTATAGATAACTATAGGTAATCACTCATAACTAATAAGTGGAATCAGTTACCTAGAAAATAAGGTTTGTTATCTACTAATTGTGTAAAAATTAGTTGCATATTTGCAAGTTAAATCCGCTCCAAAAAGACACAAGAAAAAGTAAAAATATTGATGGTTAAAAATTATCTTGCAGGCAATTTCAACGGAGGCAAAAGCATTTGAACTTGGAGAAACCAGATATTATAATTTGATAATATGGAGCACAATAATTTTGCAATTCTACTTCTTAGGCACCATTGGCGTCATCTATTCGGCTTCTTCTTTGGTGTCTGGGATTTTGATTTCCGTTCTACTACCTATAACGGAAGTTTTAGCTGTTTTGATCTACGGTGAAAAGTTCAGTACAGAAAAAGGAGTTTCACTTGCCCTCTCTCTATGGGGATTTCTTTCATACTTTTACGGTGATATTAAAGAAAGCAAGAAGAAAGAAGAACAATCTCCGGAAACAGAGATGATTGATAGTAAAGCTTGTACTCCGTGATTGAAAAGAATGGTTATTTCCATGAATAATACAAGCAGTTGTATAATATATTTGGATTTGTTCAAGTTAAGGAATTGTGATTGAATAGTTAAATTCATTATGAAATTTCAAAATTAAAGTAATAGCGTTGAAAAAAAAAGCATTATATTTAGAATTACTTTATGGAAGGTGGTAATTGATGAAAGAGTCAAAGTTTTGGTGGATCATAAGTTGCAGGAATATAAATGGCTACTCGGAACTTAAAAAAGCACAAATATCGGAAATGCGATAAAGAAAAACTCTAAAATCTTGAAAAATGAGAAAGCTTGTAAATCAGAACAAAAAACGAATCAATATAAAATAGTTGAATAATAATAAAACATTAAATATAAAACTTATTAAAAAGTAATAGTTCAACATGAATCCAGGACGCTAATTATATTTTCTGAGATCCATGTGGTTAGTATCAAAGGCTGCTTTGTATATTGAAGGGGAGAATGTTACTGGTAGATTTTTTTTTTGACTTATATATGATCATATATGGATAAAATTAATTTGATTTTTTTTTTTTTTTTTTGTGATGTTAAAATTTTCGGGCAAGAGAAATTAGAGACCAAGTGTGTGATGACAAAGCCAATACAATCACAATCACTGTTAAATGTTGTGATCCTGAGAAAATTCGTGACAAATTATGTAGTAAACGATGGTAAAAATTGCACGGGGCGTCCTATTTGATCGCCCCCATTTAATCTATACCCATTTTTTTTTTAAAACTTTTAACTTGTACCCACTTTTTAAATAACTTCAGCTCCTCCTTCGGTTTCTTCTTCTTCTTCTTCCATTGGACTCACAGTTTCCACAGAGTAGTACAGGCCAATTCAGCTACAGCCTGTTCTCAAGAAATGTTGACTGTGAGTATGGGTACTGATGAATTTTTGTACGAGGCCCAATCAAGAATAGGTCGAGGAGAATGGTCGGAGAAACAACATGAATTTGGTATCCAGAAGAACCAAGACAAGGAACTACATTACTGTAATCATATGGTACAGAAGTAACAGAACAATTGAATAGAATTGTGGGATCTTCAACATTTTTGAAATTAGATTGTGATAAATTATGTTTTGATAGCTTGGCTATTATGCACTCGTTAGGATCATAAAGGTGAATTTGCTGTGAGATATAATCAATTTCTTCAACAATTAAGTGACAGAAAAGGGAAGTTCGAGGATGGTGTCCTTTTGATTGTTACACTGTAGTTCAAAACCAGGATAGCTGAAGTTCTAAACAGTTGGCCTCTTGAAGTAAGAGCTGAAGTTCCCCAGTTAAACTTCAGGTCTAGAACTGAAGTTCGCCAGTTACGAAAACAAAAACTTCAGCTCTAGAGCTGAAGTTTGCCAGTTACAAAACAAAAACTTCAGCTCTAGAGCTGAAGTTCGCCAGTTACAAAAACAAAAATTTCAGCTCTAGAGCTGAAGTTTGCCAATTACAAAACAAAAACTTCAGCTCTAGAGCTGAAGTTCGCCAGTTACAAAAACAAAAACGTCAGTGTTGACATGTGATTTTTTACCCTCCCCGAAATTTTACCCATTTTTAGCGTGTAAATATTTAATGTAGGCCTAATATAGCTATTTCAACTATTTTTGACTTCTTTACTTTATTTTATTATCAGAAATGAAAATTACAAAAAAATATTTTAGTTTATGTATTTGTCATAAATTTGAAAAAATGCAAAAAATAGTACCCTATTTTTATCTTTATATAATTTCGAAAATACAAAAATAGTTTCATGTTTAGTTTAATTAATTAGGATTAGTTTTGACATGCTGTAGTATTTCTATCTTATTTTAAAAGGTATTGTGTAGTCTAGGGACCCTTCTAGACTCTTCTTTAGGACAAAAAATAAATAAAAAGACCCTAAGGACTTAACACAAAAAGCCTAGGGACTAATTGGCAAAATACACAAAATATAACCCTAATCCCTACCCCTATATAATAGTACCTACACCCTATACAACAGAAAAAAACGCCCAAAATCTGAAGGAGAAGCGCCGCAACACACCCTAAAAATGGACACCCTTTGACCCCTTCACAAGAACAGAAGGCGGCGGATCTGAGGATACCCATCTCCTCCCTGCTTCTTCTTCGTTCCTCTTCATTATTAAGAACAAAAGACAAAAAAAAATATATCATCATATTCCCATCTCCTAAGCTCCATTGCCGTTATCACCCCCCAAAATGGACTCACTCACTCTCTTTCTGAATAGAAGATCAGTGAATGGATACATGCACTCATATAATTTCAGCTGAAAATCCATGAGAATGGATGAAGAATCCCAAAACAGTGTAATTTCAAACAAATGCAGCTACAAAAGGTTGTAGTTGTTCAGTTGATTCCAAAGGCTTCTTCTCTGTCATTTCTGGGTTCTTAAGATGGATCTTACCTGCTGGCAAAAGCGGTTTCTGCTGTAGCAAATAGTTGAGTTCATTTTCAGTTTTTTTCCGACCTTTAAATTTCATCTCCATTGCTCCTTTTCGAGGTAATCCTCTACTGTCTCACATATTGTCTTTTAATGTACTGAAGTTTGAGTTTCTAGATCTATTATAATGTGAGATTGTTGGCTTTCGTTGATTTACATGCTATTACTAGTTAGATTTATGCGCTTTGATTAGTTCTCAGCATGAAATAATTGCCATATGCTCAATGTCTGAAATCATGGTTCATTACTGATGCATCTGCTAATATTGTCTGGATTAGTGATTTTAAATTTAGTTTTAACACAGAAAATGAAGTTTTTTTTTTCTCTATGAACTCGATGAAGATGAATTGGGTATGGTGTTCTTGAAGTTTAAGCAGCCTGTTGGATTGTTTGACCGATTATAAAAATTCACAAAATCCCTATTATCGTTTACCGTTCAAATGACAATTCTCCGTCTGTTGAAAGGTGTGTGGCTTGATGAGTGTGTGATTTTGTATATGTAATGCGTAAATCAGAGGGAGTACGTAAACGCTTACCCAGATTCATGTTTTGATAGTCCCGCCGAGTCAGTACCAAAATATAGGACCTGGGCGTATGCCCGGAATCGGAGGTCCCTATCCCGAGTTATGAATTTTTGTTGAAAATTTAAAGTCTAAAAATTTATTTGTTTTTAAGAATTATTGATGTTTGATCTCGTTGGTATCGGGTCCGTATTTTATTCCGGAGCCCGGTACATGTCCAATATAATATTTTTGATTTATCTGTGAAATTTGGTGAGAAACGGAGTTGGTTTGACGTGATTCGGACGTCCGGTTCTGAAAATAGGAATTTCTAAGTGTTCTTGAGAATTTCATTTGATTTGGTGCTAAATTCGTGGTTCTAAGTGTTATTTTGGTGATTTGATCTCACGAGCAAGTTTGTATGATGTTTTAAGACTTGTGTGCATGTTTGGTTTGGAGAACCGAGGGGCTTGGGTGTATTTTTGGATCTTTGGTTGAGAGACTAATAAAGTTATGAAATTTGGGAGTTTGACCATGATCAATATTGGGTTAAGACGACCTCTTTTCAATGCTTCGAGTACGCGAGCAGGTCTGTAGCGTGTTTTATGATTGAAATTCATATATGATTTGTGTCCGGGAGGTTCCGGATGAGTTTCGGGATGGTTTTAGATCATTTCGGAAAGTTTGGGTTTTGCTGGTTTTTGGTGCGACACTGTTCATTCGCAACTGCGAAAACACTGTTCATTCGCAATTGCGAACCATTTATGGCAATTGTGAAAGCACTGTTCATTCGCATATGCGATACCTGCGGCTGAACAAAACATGACTTAGACGGGATTTTTGATTCATTTCCCAAATTTTAAAAACCTAAATCACAAGAGGCGATTTTCAACAGAACTTTCTTCCTAAATCATTGGCAAGTGATCTTAAACTAATTTCTTTCAATATGTCACAACTTTTTCATAAGATTCAACAAAAAATCTAAGGTTTTCATGGTGAAATTGGGGGTTTCTAAATTTGGGAATTAAGACCTCAAATTGAGGTCGGAGTCAAAAACCAATTACATATCCGGGCTCGGGGGTGAATGGGTAATAGGGTTTTGGTCCAAATTTCGGGTTTGGACGAAGCAGGCCCGTCTGTTGACTTTTGTTAACTTTTTCAAAATTGGCCTAAATTGAATTCTTTGCAATCGTGTGAAGGGAAAAGCTTTGATTGAGCTTTGAGTTTGGCTGTTCGAGCGAGACAAGTGTTGTGGTTAACCTTGGCTTGAGGGATTAGATATTATTTGCCTATTTACTATATGTTTTGGTGTTGAGTACAGCGTATAGGTGAGGTGACGAGCACCTATGCGTTGTTGTCGAGTCATAACATGCGAGTGAGTCTTATTCTTGTAACTGTTGTATTCTTTGATCATATTGTTCATGTTTAGACTAGCTATTCGTTAAGTTGAGCAACTTTCATCATGTTTTTACGCAAATTGGTATAGTATTGACTCAGAGTTGAGGTTGGTATTGTGGAAAAATATCTTGAACTAAGACTGGTTCTTGATATTTCTATCTCCCGTTAGTTATTGTTCATTGTTTTGGTAAGGGAGAGTGTTAAAGCACGAAGGGTGATGCCGTGCAATGTTTTGTGAGTGAGTGATAATGCACGAAGGGTGATGCCGTGACATGTTCTATGAGTCATAATGCACGAAGGGTGATGCCATACCATGTTATGAGAGAGTTAATGCACGAAGGGTGATAATGTGTCGTTTCTATTGTCTCTTATGGTACGGTTGAGAGTAAAAGCATGAAGGGTGATGCCATGCACTTTCCTTTACTGTGTTTACTTGTTTCTAGCTGTTAAAGGTATATCGATTGAGCATGTTCTCATTTCCGTTGTGATTTCTTCTCTTGTAATCCCCTCAGCATGTCCCCTTCCCAATATTTCTTGCATTGTTCCTTTAGTTGTTGTTTTTTGTGTATATATTGATATACTGTACAAGTTTATTTGTAGGTGTCTTGTACTAGATTCGTCACTACTTCGCCGAGGTTAGACTCGACACTTACCAGTACATGGGGTCGGTTGTACTGATACTGCACTCTGCACGTTCTGTGCAGATTTTGGTGCCGGACCGAGGTTACCCTGAGTCTAGCTGCCGGCTTGATCTGTTTGGAGAC